TTTTTAGTGTCATGAGCAGGAAAGACTTAAGCATGACTTCATTAGGTCAACTAGCAACAATCATCACTGGAGAGAGAGTAATAAAGAAGTTAACTGACAGCAATGCTTCTGCCTACATGAGACCTAAAATAAATCTACACTGATATCTGAAAGGAAAATGAGGAGATGAGGTCCCCAATGAGAAAACAAACTAACAAGAAATCAAAAAAGAAAGACATTTTCATTAATGATTCCAGGCAGTAGTGGAGCATGGTGGTGAAGAGCACAGATGCTGGGGACAAACATGAGGGTCTGAGCTCCCACAGCACTGGGTAGCTGTGACACTGATATTTCAGTGAAATTTTCTGCATCTCAGTCTCCTATCCATAGACTGGGGAGAAAAACCGCACCCATCTCCTAGAACGTTCCTACGAATTATGTTATTTTATATATACAAGATTAAATAAAATAACTCAGATTTTAAATAATACCCCAAAAGCACAAGGAACAAAGAAAACAGAGATAAATTGGAGTTCATCAAAATGTAAAACTTTGCTTCAAAGGGCACCATCCAGAAAGTGAAAAAACAACACACAGGAGAAAATTTTTTCAAGTCATTTATCTGATGAAGAATTTGTATCCCCAAATTAAAAAAAAAAAACAAACCTACAACTCAACAATAAAAAGGCAACTCAATTAAAAGAAGGATAAAGGATCTGAAAGGTATTTTTCTAGGAAAATATACAAATGGCCAATAAGCACATGAAACGATGTTCAATATCATTAGCTGTAAGGGAAATCAAGTCAAAACCACTAGGAGAAACCGCTTCACACTCACTACAGTAGGTTATAATCAAAAAAAAGTGCAACAAGCACTAATGAGGACACAGAGGAAGCAGAGCGCACAGCCCTTGCTGGTGAGGATGTAACACAGCGTGGCCACTTTGGAAAGCAGCCTGGCACGTCCTCAGAGATTTGAACATTTGGTTTATGAAAGACCCAGCATTTCTGCTCTCTGGTCACACACGTAAGAGAACTGAAAACAAATGTCCACATAAAAACTCCTAAAGGAATATTCACGGCGCCATTACTCATCACAGCCAAAAAGCAGAAACAACAAAAATGACTATCACCTGATGAATGGGTAAACAGTGCGGCCCAGCTATACAGTAGAATATAATTCAGCAATAGCAAAGCATAGAGTACTGACCCAGGCCACAACGTGGACAAACATTGAAAACGTTACTCAGTGTGAAAGAATTCAGTCACAATATACGGTTCCATTTACATGAAATGACTCATTTTACATGAAATGTCCAGCACAGGCAAACCCACAGAG